CAGATGCAGCCCTCAGCCAGTGCAAGCAGTTGTCGGAGAAAACAGGGCAGTGCGCGCCAACCCACATCAGCAAAATCGCCCCGAGGAAAATCGTGATGGATTGCGACGACTGGGGGGGGGGGGGCAGCTCAAGATCCTCGACGCTACCAATCCGGACGGTGCCGCCATGGTCGTCGAGCAGGATCGGGCAGCCACAGTGCAGGGTGTGCTACTGCAGGTGGGTTGCCTTTCTCCTCCTCCTCCTCCTCCTCCTCGTGCTCCTCCTCCTCCTGCTCTCCCACTCTGAATGTCCTACTCCCTCCTACTCCTATTCCTAATTATTTCATCCTCCTGCTCCTCCCCTTCCCCGCTCTCGTCGTCGTCGTCGTCGCCATTCTCCTACTGCTCCCCCTGCTCCTCCTCCTCATGCTCCTTTTTCCCTCCTCGGTGTTCGGGGCGATGCTCGACGAGATCAAGGCGGCTCTGGCTGTGGACAAGCAGGCCGCCGAGGATATATTCTTTAAGAACATCTCGGCCATCGCGAAGACCAAGGGGTTGCCCAAAGCGTTCCTGGATGACGCCGAGGCCGCATGCACGGCCCGGGATCCGCCCTCGCAGACTTTGGCCAACATCCAGCGGGCAACGGCGCGCCTCACCGCAAAGAAGGAGCAGTCGGTTTACTTGAGCACGGTCAAGAGGAAGAAGATAGACGGTTGAGATGCTCTCATCGGCAAGTTGACGCAGAGCCCGAGGGAAAAACAGAAGACGGAGTCCAAGAGTCAGCATCTCCATGACACCATAAAAACACTCGATGGTGCGATCGCCGCTTTGGTTCCTGAGTCAGACATCACTGCCATTGGCGCGAGTGCCGAGAAGTTCGTTGCCATCGCCAAGCGCATCCTCGACATCAACTGGAGTGAGATGTCGGTCCAGCAGTTCGAGGCGCGCGACCCGCTGCGCACTTTCTACGCCAAGCTCTGCATGGCGATCATCTCTAAGGTCCCGCCGAACTTCTTCGAACAGGGCACCGCAATCGATCAGGAGATGAAGTGGGTGACGGATACCAGCGAGAAGATTGTCGACACTGGCGGGAAGGTGAACGAGAAGATCACGGACTGCGAGAAGCTAAACATCACGATCTACAAGGAGACCATGCTGCTCGCCACGGTCCCGAAATCAATTACCAAACGCGTGATGGAAAAGACAATTTCTGAGATCGGCGTGGGTTTTCTGACAGTGATCTGCCTCAAGATGAGCCCGAAGGACCTTGCCAATTTGGAGAGGCACCTGCGCACCCTTAAGCTGCCGATGCCAGAGAATTGGGAGTGTGTCAGCAATTGCATGGGGTGGCCCGTTGAGCCTCAACCGGTAACAGATTTCGTCATGAAGCTCGTGGAGAGGGGGAACGCGCTACCACTGGCGATGCTGACGGCGATAAAGGGATTCATGGACATGAAGGGTGATGCCGCTAAGTTCCAGGAGGCACGCGTCCTGGACGATGCAGACGTGAGGGGCCTCGCTCTTGATGGCAACAGCTGCTTGGAGGATAAGAACGGAATTGTAGGCCGCCTCAAGGCCAAGAGCATCGACACCATCATCGCCAACATGGACTCCAACCTTGGCGTCGCGAGATCGTACAATAGCCTCTGCGACAAGTGTTCTCTCCCTGAAGAAGAAGCGCAGGCCAGTCACGTTCTGGAAATGCTGCAGTCGGACGTGCCTTTGAAGATGATGGTAGCATGATTCAGACCGACCCCATCGCCCAAGACCAGGACAAGTTGCTCGAGCTGTACGCCAAATTCAAAGTCAACGTGTCAGCCCTGCTGGGCTGAGATGGTGAACGACAATGCCCCGGTCATCGCTAACGTGAGGCAGATCATACAGAAATACGCCGACTTGAAGGAGAAAGTCCTGCGTTCAACCCTCGAGAAGGCCACGAGGGCCATGGTGGAGGCCGCGAAGAACGTAGAGGAGAACTTGCTTCCTACCTCGGCCGTGCCCAAGAAGTTTGACCCAGACGGAATGAAGAAGATAATCGATATGGAAGGTCGGGCGGCCCTGGTTCAAGCAGTGAAATCCACCAACATCGTATGCGGCGAGTGGAAGGCCCGGAGCGCGTTCGTCATGGGGGCGATCGACTTGGTCGACTTGGAGAAGCAGGTGAGTGGCGCGATCGAGTTGCGGGACAAGGCCAAGACGATGATCGCCATTCGTTCTGGCCTCCTCATCCTGAGCCAGAAGGACAAGAGCCCTAAGATGATCGAGGATTTCTTCAAGCAGCTGAAGATCGCTAGGAGCTCCATCTCGGCGGCGCGCCGAGGGGGGCATGGGGGGGGGGGGGGGGGCTTCTTAGAAGGCAGGGTGCTTCTTAGAAGCCACCTGGGGCATCTAAGACGCCCTCGGGGGGCTTCTAAGAAACGCCCTGCCTATTAAGAAGCCCCCCCCCCCTCCCCCTACCCCCCTCCGCGCCGCCGACCATCCCCGTGAAGCTCCGGAAGGAGCTGGATAAGCGCGCAGGTGGCGTCGCCGTCGTTCCCGAGGGCGAGGGTGCAGCTGACCCCCCGGGCGAAGCA